GCACACTGGCTTGGGGACAGACGCTGCCAACGCACGGCGCCATGTGGGCCATGTAGACTTATCCTACAGGACGCTCTTAGTCCCAGCAACTGTTGAGAAGGCACGTTCTCTTTGAGCAAACCTGTAATCCCTGCCTAATCCCCTCATTAGGGGACTGCTGCTAATTTTGAGTAATATTTCCAAGGAACACTGGAAATATTGGACCAAGGGATGTCTCTGGAGAAGGGCAGCTGAAGGGCCAGCAGCAGTCCAGCCTGCTGGTCCCAACGAACCATCTCACCTTTTTTTTTTTTTTTTTTTTTTTTCTCCCTTCACGTCGTGGTTTGTTTTTTTTCCCTTTTTCCTCCCTTTTCCGCCCCCGCCCCGGTGCGGGTGTTGGCGGTGGCTCCGCGCTGTCCCGAGGAGGAGGAGGAGGAGGAGCGGCGCAGGTTACGCCGGGCTGTGTGAGCTCCCGTGGCTGTGCGTAGACACCGCTGAAAGCATTTTTCAGAGTCTCTAATTAAGCACGGATGAGCGGAACGCCGTGGGGCCGCCCGGTGACCCCGGGCCGCTCGGCAGCCGGCCCAGCTCCCCCCCGGCCCCGGGCACCCGCCGCCCGCCCCGGGGGCACGGCCGGGGCATCCCTGGGCAGCGGGTGGCGACCGGGCGGCGAAGTAGGACGTTGTTAGTGGGTCAGCGGCGAGAGTCGGTGAAAAGAGCAGTGCTGCACTTTACAGGACAAGACGAGAAAGGGAAACCGTATCTCTGCATTATTTCTGTTTAATTAAAAGTGTCATCAAACACTTTGTGTTCAGACTAATAAACCAAGCAGGGATGAGGAAAGAATGTTTCTTTGTTCCTGTCTCTAGAAGCAGTGGCAATAATTTAAATTAATAACTGTGGTAATTAAGAGGTCATCTATAGATCAACCCGATACCTGCTACTTCCAAGTTCACCAGGGTCAACATTTACATTAAGTCATTTGTGGTCAATAGAGTCCAATGAATTCTGCCTTAATAAATCAGGGAAATCAATCTTGAATATCGAGTAGACTTCTATATGTTTACCAAAGGCTACTAAGGCAAGCGGGGCGACAGAGATGGGAGTCCTCTGGGTCTGCCCCCCAGAAAAGCATCTCGTAGGGGAAAGGAGAGGCTGCGGGTCCCCGCGGGAAGCGGTGGCGGGGACCCTGCTTACAGCCCGGCCCCTCCGGCGTGGGGCGCGGGGCAGCCCCGGGCTGCGGGGCACCTGCCAAAGAAGGCAAACTTGAGCGGGCTTTGCGGGGGCCAGGGCAGGAAAGGGCGGGGGGGGGAGGGCCAGCAGGTAACGGAGCGGTCGGGAGCGGGGCTGGGTCCCGCCGGGAGAGGGGCAGGGTCCCGCCGGGACCCCGGGCAGGGGGCTTTCCCGCACTCCGGTGCGGTCCTGGGCGAGCACAGAAGCCGCAGTCTGTTGCGGTGACCCGCAGCTTAGAGTAGGGGAAATTAAGCTGCGAAAAGATAAACATTATTTCAAGTCGGATTTGAAGGATTAGGACTTGTAATAAAGAGTATTAGGCCTTTTCGAAAGGTTCTTGCAAGGCGACTTCCCCCCCCTCCGCTCTCCCACCGAAGGGGACAGGTATTTTCTTGCCCCGGGAACCGACCGCAGGTTCCCCACGCGTGTCCGCAGCGGCCGGGCCGGGTCCCTCTCCCCACCGTGTCCGGCGTCGGGAGAGCCACCCGGCTCCCTCCGGCTCCCTCCGGTTCCTCCGGCGCCCTTTGCCCGGTGGCTTTGGAGGATGCTCCCGGGGAGGCAGTTGTGCAGCATCCTCCTGGGCTGCCCACGGGGGGACGAAACCTGCAGGGCCCTCGCGGCCCGGGGGGCGGCCAGGGGGTCCCCCCGAGCTACCGGCTCTGCCCCGCCGCCCCGGCCCTGGTCCCCGCCGGCTCCGCGGCAGCGCCCGAAGGAGCCGCCAAGCCCCCGGGGGCGGTTAATTAGTCAGGTGCAGGCTTTGGGGGCTTTTTAAGGCAGGCACGGAGGTAACCTCCAGGGAGTCTTAAGACTTTTATTTTTTTTATTATTTTTATTTATTACTTTTACTCCCCTTTTATTAAAGGTCAAGCGAGAGAGATGCAGATTATCCCGCCCGCCCAGGAGTCCCCTGCAATCTGTCACGCCGGCAAGATATGTATCGCAAATCTCTCAAAATATAATCTCCGGGAATCATATTCCGAATACTGTTTTGATTAAAAACCAGAACGGGGATTGACGGGGAACTAATGCCGGGAGCGGAGCCTGCGAGCGCCCAGGCACAGAACTGAAATACCGGGCTCGCCCGGGTGTCACGGGAACAAATTCAGCGCCCCCGATGCCATAATAAACGTATTTAAACCGGCTTCTGGCTTGGGCTTTGCTACGAGCTGGGCTTTTTAATGCCGCTGAGCTCGGGGAAGTGAACTCGGGTCGCCCGCCGGAGCGGGGGCAGCCCCCCCTTGGATGGGAACTGGAGCCCGGTTCCCCCGGGGCGGTGCGGGGCGATGGGGCCGGTGCGGGGCGATGGGGCCGGTGCCAGCCCCCCCCACCCTCTGGAAGGCGCCAGCACCCCTCGCCCCCTGCCCGGGGCTCCCCCTTTCCCTCAGCCCGCTGGGACGCGCCTGGCACCGGCTGCTCCCCCT